AAAAAAAAAAAGATTTTGAAGTCCAAACTGGATTGCATTTGAGAGGGCAACTGCAATGTGGAGTCATTACCAGCGGCAAAGAGAATGCAGCACACACATCTTTGGGAGCAAAGTTAAAAGTTCGGAAGAAACTGAGTTTGGTTGTCAGTTCATGCTACCAACATGCTTATTTCAAACTTCAGATAGAATAGCATACACGAACCCAATAAATTCAGTTATTCAATCCTATCAAAGTCCACTATTTGACCAACTGCAACACCATAGACAACTGTGAATGCATGCAGGAAAATAGCCCAGAGTAACTCAAATCTCTGGATTTTATTTGTAGAAGATTAAAATGCATTATGCACTATGAATCGAAAAAATTAACAGAGGGAAGAGTGAAAATGTTTCAGTATATTCAAAGAAATGGCCTACATTTTATCACCATAAAATAAACTAAAAGATACACCTCCTGTCAATCTAAGGAGTCAAAACCGAAACGGCAGCAGCTTTGTGAGAAGACTTCATGGAATTAAAGAGATTCAAAACATCAGCATGGTTACGGATGAATCTCGGGGCATCTTAAGAGGAAATCTTGTGCTTCATTATGCCTTCCAGCTTTAAAATATGCTTCAAATGCACGAAGAAACACTGATGTAGCTGGGAAACTCTTGACAGTCATAGTTTTCAAAAGCTTATCAGCATCATCAGTAGTTCCAGTCTTTGAAATGTACTCGATGAATGGATCTAAGAAAGTAGGATACCCTTGACTTTTCATCAAAACTAGAAGATTTAAAGCTTCTTTAAACCTCCCCTGAACAAGAAGCTTGCTCAGCAATAGTTTGTATGTACTATGCCGAGGTTTCAACTCTTTCTCATTGACCACATCAGAAAGAAGCTTGCACGCATCCATTGCCCAGTTCTTACGACAATATGCATTAACCAACAATTCTAAAACATACCCAGCATAAGAAGCTCCCTCTTTATCAACCATCTTATGGAAACAATCAGAAGCTTTGTTGATCACCAGCTATACAGTGTCTTTCAATTAAAGATGCCCACGTTTTGTAATGCAGGCTATGCCCAGACGCTTCCATATTATTCATAAACTCGCTCGCTTCACCCTTTTCCCCCCGACTACTAAGCTGAAAGGCAATTTTCCCCTTCATTGGATCACAAGCTGAGAGGCCACCTTCCTCCAGTGCTTTCAATATCTTATTGCATTTCCCAATTCTTCCAACACTGGTTAAAGACTTGAGAACAGCGTCAATGGTTGAATTCGTCAACACATTCCCACTATCCTTAAATACCCTCACAACTCTCATAAACAAACCCATATTTAGCTCCTTACTAGCCATTATTTTCCTCAAAAGATAAGTGCAATCCTGAACAGAAGGTTTAGTCTTACCGGTCATTGCAAACTCATAAAAATCCACAGCATCCTTTACCATTTTCCTCTTAACAAATTGTCTCAAAACCTTAATGTATGTCCCCTTCTCCATTTCATACCCACCACCCCTCATTTCATGGATCACCCTCCAAAACTTCTCAACACAATCTTCCTTAGCCAACACCAATGCCAGAGCATTATAAGTCCGCTCATCATGCTTAAACAAGCCACTTTCCTCAATCCACCTGTAGAATATCAATGTCTTATTCGGTTCACTTCCAATATCAATGCAACTATATCACTCGAGAACACAACATTCAATTCTTTTAACTGCTTTTCAACATTATGCCCCCACACTTCTTGTCAAATAACCATACAAACCCTAGAACAAACCTTTTCAATTGAATTATCCACCGACCCTGATGCATACAATTCTTTCAACTTCTCTAAGTCACTACCCATTCTTTCCTTTTCGAATTTCTCAGAAACCCTACTAAATGTACCCTTTGACACTCCGTACCCTTTCTTTTTCATAATTCCAACCATATCCCAGAACTCATTCACAAACCCATTCACACCCAACATACCCAACATCAAATTATACGACTTTGAGCTCAATCTGTCATTTTCTCTCTCTGAAACCCAATCAAAAAAGCTCTTAGCAACCTCGGGGGCTGCATTAAGATCCTGCAAAACCTTTAGCACCAATTCATGGCTAATAACGACATTGTTGGACTCTAATTCGACCTTCATCTCATCAGTAGTTTCATATCCTTTAGAGAAAATATCAGTTACTAGCACTACCTCATCAGCGTTTTTGTGTTCAACGGCAAGTTCAGAGGATGAGAAATAGCGGAAGCTGGGGCTTGGAAGGTTTTGAAGTTGGGAAATGAATGGTGGTAGGGGCACGTGAGGTGCAAGTGAGTGGAGGAGTGAGGAAGAGAAGAAGCGAAGAGAGTTTACCTGGAAGTCAGAGTCAGAAAACTGAGACAAGTGCCTGGAAATGTGAGGTTGAGCTAGAGAGTGGCGGCAGAGAAGAAGCAAACGCCATTGATTTCTCATTTTCTGCGAGGTTTAGGGTTTCGGAAATGGAGGAGGAGGATGCTTATCGGTTGTGGCTTAGCTCAGATGGAGAAGAAGATTTGGGCTTTGGGCTTTGATTTGGGGTCCGAGGAATCTATGAAAATGGTGGTTGCATGAAGGTTCGAAACCCGGACTACACCATGGCCATGGGCTTGTTACTTTTGGTGCTGCCCTATTTCAAACATTTTTTTTTTTTTGGGTCTAAAAAAGGGATGATGAGATTTGAATAACGATCTTAAGGTTCACCAGGGAGAGCGGTGACTATTTAAGTAACTCCAATGCTATTGCTACCTCGCCAAAATCTAAGTAGTCAAATTTGCTCGCCAGATTTGGAGAGGAGAAATTATTTGCCACTTGCTGCTTCTGCTCCTTGCTGTTACGTACAGAAGTTCTTCAACTGTTAACCAGGTTTTCATCTCTCCCTCCTCTGGCTGCTCTTTGTTGTTGCTGGTAGTGATCTTGCCTATGTCTTCATCGTCTTCTCCAATGATTGGTTTAGGTAATCTCTTCCTCTCCCACCCCAAGTTGCAAATCTCTCTCCCCTAAACCCATTCTCAGAACCCCTTCTATAAAACCCAAATTTTGAAAATTTCCTTGTATAATAAAACATTTTATTTTGGCATTTGTAATATTAATGCAAATATTTGTTTCTATGGGGTATTTTTGAATTATATTATTAAAAATTTGTTCAAGTTAGTTAAAGTAGTTAGCTAAAATAGAGAGTTTGATTAGAATGAATTTAAACAAATGACTAATTAGAATAGAGAATACAATATTTAAATATATTTTGACTAACCATTTTATTGAGCAGGATTAGAGTTGCTCTTAGACCAACTGCTAACATCTGCTTCAAACATTCAAGTAGTATATGATGGGATTTAAATCAATTCCAATATTAATTCTTTCCTAATTTGATCAATGTTATCGGCAATCCAATGAGATTTTATTATATCTTAGGGGATTGAGAGAGATTTGGCATTGTGAAGTACCGTGTCGAACCTAAATAGCGTTACTTAGAAATGCAAATGAATCGAATTGAGTCAAACACTAGATTATTTGAGCTTGTTTTGTTCATTTGCGAAGAGGACTCTGGTTCAGCTTAGGAACGTAATAAGGTTCAAAAATCTTATTCAAGTATAGCTTGTTAATTTTTTCTCCAACTCAAGTTTGTCTCGAGTGTCGCTCGATTCTCATGATTGGTCGAAATAAATCATTGGTCTGATCAGGAATCTAGAGTAAAATGGCTGCTTAACTTGTCCTTTTCCAACCGTTGGAAAACCTTTGGATGCTTCAAAACAGGGAGAAGGATTCAATCACATAAGTCTCGTTTGGTTGTCGTATTAAAAATAAACGAATTAAATAAAGTAATATATGCTAATACAATACAGATGGATAAAATATAAGATTAAATGAGGTATTAGAATAATACGTAATTTTATTCAGTGTTTGACATACACAATATAAACGTTGGATAGTAGTTATTTAGTCCAATCCATTGTTTGGTTAAAAAATTATTACATCGTATTAATGTTAAATTAACATACAATTAGTATACATTTTTAAAATTAATACAAACTCAAAATTGCTTACCAAACAAAATATTAATCAATTCAATATTTANGTGTCGAGTTGACCTATTTATTTTCGTGTCGTGTTCGTGTTCATATTCATGTTGACCTACATAAACTTTGAATAAAAAATTTAACTCTAAGATTTTATTTTCACTTAATTGAATCTCTCCTCATATTTTTTCTACAAACTAAAAATTAACTTAATAATAATAATAACAACAATAATGAGTAATAATATCTTTTTTATTCAATAATTATGTAAATACTTGATAAACAGTTACAAATAATTAATATTTTATTTATATAATACTTATTAAATATGTTAATTGTACATTATACAACCAAATTAAATATCAGAAGTAATGGAAAAAATAAGCTATCAAAACATGAAAACTTATACATGCAACGAAAAGGTCAAGTCAATCTCCTTCGAATTAAAAATTTCGTGTTGACGGGTTAATTCGTGTTAAACGGGTTGAACCCGAACATAATCCATTAACACTTCTTGTTGGCGGGTCGTGTCATATGCGGGACGTGTCAAAAAATTAGTCAACCTAAACTCATTTATTCGTATCGTGTTTCATATCGAATTATCGTGTCGTATCAAAAATTGTCACCCCAATTGAATAGACGGTGGCTTTTTTTTGTACGGGTTAAGCTCATTGATTGTCACTTATCAATCCGTATCATCTTGGGCTATTGNGTGTCGTATCAAAAATTGTCACCCCAATTGAATAGACGGTGGCTTTTTTTTGTACGGGTTAAGCTCATTGATTGTCACTTATCAATCCGTATCATCTTGGGCTATTGACAGTCGGACCAAATAGGACCAGCCCGTTATCAACTCCTGAGCCCCAGGTGATCTGAGCCTCTTAACGATTTTCCAGACCCTATAACCCGGTTACTAAACCGGACCGATTAATGTATTAGACCGTTTGAGCATAAAATGAGACCAANCTCCTGAGCCCCAGGTGATCTGAGCCTCTTAACGATTTTCCAGACCCTATAACCCGGTTACTAAACCGGACCGATTAATGTATTAGACCGTTTGAGCATAAAATGAGACCAAAACCCGATGGATGAGTTAAAAGGCTATAAAAACCGGGCTTTTGGCCATCGTTGCCTTAATCGTTTTGCACTTTTTTTTCTTACTTTTGCTTGTCACATCTTTGCCTATCTGGAGTCCAACGATTCTTAGGTCAAGTCTTAACGGTTCAACCCTGTTGTCTCTCTCTCGATCNAAAACCCGATGGATGAGTTAAAAGGCTATAAAAACCGGGCTTTTGGCCATCGTTGCCCTAATTGTTTTGCACTTTTTTTTCTTACTTTTGCTTGTCACATCTTTGCCTATCTGGAGTCCAACGACTCTTAGGTCAAGTTTTAACGGTTCAACCCTGTTGTCTCTCTCTCTCGATAGAAGTGTTGAACAAATCAACAAAGCGACAAAGTACGAAGGCGGACAGGACTGAGGAGGAGTCCTCCACCACCGTCATGGTTCGGTGGTTAGATCAATCAAGCATTAAACTCGCCGACTCGATGCACCGGGTGGATTTTATATGAACCGTTTAAACCGGATGGGTATGTGCAAACCGTCCGGATAAATAAGAAATTTTTTGGCATTGTTTGTTTGCCCTAATCCCCTATTCGACCTCGACGACTGAGATCATATCTGATCTGTCACTCAGCCTCTCATCTCTCTCTCTCTCCCTCTCCTATCTCTTCGCTCTTTCTGGCCTCTTNTGGATTTTATATGAACCGTTTAAACCGGATGGGTATGTGCAAACCGTCCGGATAAATTAGAAATTTTTTGGCATTGTTTGTTTGCCCTAATCCCCTATTCGACCTCGACGACTGAGATTATATCTGATCTGTCACTCAGCCTCTCATCTCTCTCTCTCTCCCTCTCCTATCTCTTCGCTCTTTCTGGCCTCTGCAGCTCGTCTCAAGTCTCATTCGTCTCTCTTTCTCTGCGGCTATTCGATTTCGACAGTCTTCAACTGAACTTTCGTTCGTCCCTTGCTCCAAGCAAGCATCTCGATCATCTCTGTCTCTGATTGCTGGCTTGAATCGAAGTAGGGGTGAGGGATTCGCCTCCGTTCACTTGATACTTTTGATAGGTATCTTGGCTGTCAACTTTCAATAATAGAACCCTATTCTATATTCTCTACAAAAAAACAAAAACAAAACCGTAGTTGTGTTGGTGAATTTTCTTACTGATTGGTGATATTCNTCAACTTTCAATAATAGAACCCTATTCTATATTCTCTACAAAAAAACAAAAACAAAAACAAAACCGTAGTTGTGTTGGTGAATTTTCTTACTGATTGGTGATATTATTTACATTGATTAGTGATGTTCTTCTAAGTTCTTACTGATTAGTGTTGTTTGATTGCCATATTGTTTATTTGTTTATGTGAAATTGGACATTAGCCTTTAACTTCAAGAGCATCTCACTGGGTATTCTTCATGGTTGTTTCTATTTCTTAATTACCATGTTTGGGTGTTTAGGGAAATCAGAGTTTTCGGTTGGATCAACTGACCCAAAAATATGTTATCATTCATTTCTATTTAGTTGACGAAACAACAGATCATTTGAAAATGTGGAGCATAAGACTCATGGCATTTTGCGCTGTGATTTAGGATTTTTCTTGGATAAATAATTGGATTTAGAGTGATTAAGTGTTGCGACAAACTAGCGGTAGTAATCCATGTTATAAACAGACAAACAGATTTTTGAAACTTTGAATAGAAATAGTAGTAATCCATGCTTGGTTGATCACTAATGACCACCCTATTCTCCAAACAAAAATGTCTTAAATCACCAAAGATGTTTGACCGATCAGTCGAATAGAATATAAAAATGGCTGCATTCCTTTACTGTTAATCTTCATGTTTGTATTAACAATGATAAAGAGTTGTGAAACCACATTGCATTAATCAGTCTCTTGTTGAATCTTGAATTCATTTAATAGATCAGAATTTCCTCTGGAAATTGGATACATTTAATAAAGGTATTTTTCTCTACTTAGCTTTCCAAATTGTCTANCCACATTGCATTAATCAGTCTCTTGTTGAATCTTGAATTCATTTAATAGATCAGAATGTCTTCCTCTGGAAATTGGATACATTTAATAAAGGTATTTTTCTCTACTTAGCTTTCCAAATTGTCTTAGAAATTGGATGCATTGGATACATATTTGATATTTTTTGGGTTTTTGTTTGATCTAATATACATTAAACGTGTTATTTTCATAATTATTGTATTTTTTTAGCGTATTTTTTGATCATTAATAGTTATTTTTTATTATTTTATTAAATAACTGATCCAGCCGGTTGAACCAGTGATCCGGTCTCTTTCTCGGGATGACCAGGCCGGGTTTTACAACTATGGTTGAATTAGTGACCCATTGACCTAGTCCTTTTTTCGGGTTGATGTCCGGGCCGGTTTTTAAAACTATTATTCTAAGGTTTTACAGCTCACATTTGCAGAGTTAGCAAAGAAGTCTTAGTAGAGTGAGAGAGATGGCAACNCCTAGTCCTTTTTTCGGGTTGATGTCCGGGCCGGTTTTTAAAACTATTATTCTAAGGGTTTACAGCTCACATTTGCAGAGTTAGCAAAGAAGTCTTAGTAGAGTGAGAGAGATGGCAACAGAGGACTCATGGAAGAAGCTGAAGAGAGCAACTGTTGATAGATTATCGAAACCACTTGGATTGAAGAGAGAGAAGGACAAGAACAAGGAGGAAAAAAATAAGATGAGAAATTCAAATCTTGTTGGAAGCGGTATCGTTTCTTCAATGCCCTTTTCTCTTTAACCCTTTCTTATTCTTCGAGTTGTCTTTTGTGGGTTTGATCATGAATTTGTGATCTCTTACTTCTCAATCAAACCTCTCTTCAAATGTTTGGTATATAAAAGATACAAGTGAGTGGGGGCAAGGGTTTGTGGTAGAATTCTAGGGTTTTGGATGAACAGTTCTGGCCATATCCATGTCCCTATTTATGATGTTTTGCAACTGTGAAGATGGATTTTATGTTGTATAATGTATACATGGATAATAGATAGATTTATACGCTACAAAAATTCTGAGTTGGGAGCATTCATTTTATCTTCTCTTACACAATTTAGCAAACTTTACCTATTGTTTTTTTTTTCATTTGTTATTGTTATTTAAATTGTGTAGTGTTTTGAATGCATTAAAAGGGTCCTAGAACTAGGGATCCTTTTATAGCTACTCCAATCCAATAATATTGGGTGGTATTGATGTAGTTTATTTACAAACAATGTTCTCTTAAACATTGTAAAAAACCATCAGAGTCAAAGTAGCTGGATTCAGCCATGGGTAATGGTGGTATCAGACTGAATATTATTGTCATTCCTTATTAATCAAAACTACATGACCTCCATCATTCTTTTTAAGCATACTCATTTCCAGTTGTCCAGGAATTTATTAACAAGGACTGCTAATACTTACCCTTTGTTGTTTAAAGAGGAAAGTTTGAATAGTTTTAAGGAAAGAAAGAAAAAAAACAAATCTTCACGGCAGAAAAGAAGCAGGAATGAAGGTGACAAAGTTGATAGTGAAGAAGTTCACCACTTCCATATGAAAGGTGCATTTATTGTCAATGTGTATGTTTTGTTTATGGAATTCATTCTTGTGTTTATGTTCTCATGTATATTGGTTAACTCTTGTGACTTTGAGCCAGATGAATCAGATGAAGTTGACAGAGGAAAGAGAAAGAGCAAAGTGTTGGGGAATAAGAAAAGGAAAAATGAGATCATTAAGGAAACAATGCCTGTAGAAGTTGATAAACTCCATAATGAATGGGAAAGTGGCTTTGATGAACACAATGTTGCTAATGAAGTGGAAGAAAAGAAAAGGAGCATATCAAGGAAAAAGAAAAGAAAACATCAGAAATTAGAGAAAGCTGAGGTTGACAAAGTGGATGAGCTTTGTAATGATGTTAAAGACACCGCCAACTCAAAAAATGGTAGGGGAAAAAGATTCTAGTGTTGATTGTATTTTTATTGTTCTTCTTGTTTTACCTAAATGACTAACGCACAAGACAATATAACAATAGTATGTACTCTGAAAGTTTTGGGTTTAGCTTGTTTTGAACTAGATATGATCCTTTGTTTTATCTTTTTAGATTGTCCATTTTTGAAATTCTACTATGATGCTTTATCTGTTGGTTTGATCATTTTGTCTACAAATACAATTCTAGTTGTTTTGTACATCCAAAATAAATCTAGTAAAGGCCAGATAGCATTGCTCTCTGTTATGAAGCTGTAGGGAGGGTAAAGTTTTCCTAGGCCAAGTAGGATTTTTGGGGTCAAAGTGATAAATCATTAGTGTTACAGATTTTCAACTGCCACTTGCTTTTAGAGGTAATACAGAATGATGATCGTTTGTAAGTCATGTTAGTCTTTCTCTTTCATGAAACATTAAACTGGCTACAATTTCCTTCCCGATGAAGTAATGGGGGCAATCTACTCTGAAACCACGAGGCAGATTGGAAGTTCTGAGAGGCATGCGGCTGGTATTGGAACAAGCTTCAAAACCCCTCAATAACTGAATCATCTTAGTAACAAAATCTTTTAAACTGCAGAAATGGTTTGGAATTACATAGCAACTCTAATACATGTATTAGTATCCATACTTTTCTTTTTCTGTAGGTAAGTCAAAAAAAGCTCATAAAATGAAAAAGAAGGATCAGTTATCATCAAGGAAAGATGTCAAGTTACTGGAAAGAAGAGGAGACGCTGAAGAAGATGAGGTCTATCAAATATTTGCCGGGGATGACGACTGCTCTAAAGGAATGAAAAGTATGAATTCTTACTATCAGATACACTTGGTTTTGCCTGTCGTGGTTATATCTTTCTAAATGTTTACATCTTGCTGTCATGATGTAGCCACACATAGGGATCCAAAAAAAAAATCGTAGCCACGCACAATCTTTCAGGGAAATAAAAAAGACTAGCCAGACATAGGTGATAACTGGTAAGTATAACCTCAGCTGTAATCCATCCTCAAAAGACCTGGTTCTAGCCTCTACTTACTTGGGGTCGGTTTCATTTATAAATCCTATACGTTCCTCCCCATCTAGGTGCATATATATTGCTATATATTGTTAATACCCTTGACAGCTCTTAATATTCAAAAATTAAGCCTATCAAAAGCATCCTCAATAACCATTTTTTTCATTTTTCTATTTTATTTATTTAGAATGGATTACGGAATACCATCAGAGTAGACCAGGGTTGAAGATATTGCAACAACGGATTGACGACTTTATAACTACTCATGAGGCACAAGAGGAGGAGGTACTTGTCTGATGTAGATACCTGTTACGTGCGATGATTGGTGGTTCCATCAAATCTGTGCACCATTTGATTTATCCTCATATATCTATCTCCATGGAGTCTGTATATGTATTGGTCCATGGAATTTGTATTGTCCAATTTCCTTTGCTAAATAAACTACCCCCTGCTGTTCTTTATGACACATACAGGCAAGAAAAGAAAGAGAAGCCCAAGCTGCAGAAGGTGGATGGACTGTTGTTGTACATCATAAAGGCAGGAAAAAAACAACAGATTCAGAAAGTGGAATTGCTGTTGGTTCTGTTGCCCAAGCGGCTGTTATGGATAAAATGGCCAAAAAGAAAAGCAAAGAAGTGGGGCTAGATTTCTACCGCTTTCAGAAAAGGGAGGCCCAGAGGAACGGTAAGCTGAACTTAATAAACAAATTGATTTTGGTTTGGTCTTCCACCAATGTTCTATGTTCATCAGTTAGATATTAGAAGAGGACCATGGTTAGGATCATAGTTGTCAAATCGCGTATCGGAAGGCGTATCGTTTTTCAAAAATAGGGTATCGTATCGTGTATCGTAAGATGTACGCAATTTAATTTAATTTATATATATATACCTTTGTAAAAAAAATTNTCTATGTTCATCAGTTAGATATTAGAAGAGGACCATGGTTAGGATCATAGTTGTCAAATCGCGTATCGGAAGGCGTATCGTTTTTCAAAAATAGGGTATCGTATCGTATATCGTAAGATGTACGCAATTTAATTTAATTTATATATATATACCTTTGTAAAAAAAATATAGACTCATAATAATATAACATTTCATTAATATTCCACAAACTATTTAAGTTCCCAATTTAGTTCAGTAATATCAAAATGCAAAGACCTCTAATTCAAACTTTTAACATCAACTACTTGAACAACTTTAATATTAATCAGGAATTTTGAACTCAATTGAATAACATTAACAATATACTCTATTTTATTTTTTTAAACCACAACTATTAACACTGGCTAGTAATTTAAAAATAAGNTAATTCAAACTTTTAACATCAACTACTTGAACAACTTTAATATTAATCAGGAATTTTAAACTCAATTGAATAACATTAACAATATACTCTATTTTATTTTTTTAAACCACAACTACTAACACTGGCTAGTAATTTAAAAATAAGTCTTAGGGTAAAACGATGTCATTTTAGTTTCAAAAAAACAAAAAAAAAAAAAAAACAAAATCGTCATGTATCATATCGTACGATATGGTGCAAAAACGATATAGGGACACGACGCGTATCGTTTTTCAAGTGTATCGTGATGTATCGTTCGATACTAATAATTATGGTTGGGACATTTATCTAATATTACAATTAGGAAGTTGAATTCTCAACTTATAAAAACACAACAACAGTCAAGATAGATCCAAATGTTCATCTACTTTGATCCCCAATGGTACAAGCTTCATCCCAAAAGAAATTTCCTGCTCAAAAATTACTTCTCATTACGAAATCTAATGTTGGACAACTCAACCAACACACCCCCCATTGTTTGATAACCTTACTACTTCACGCCTAACCCTCACTTGTGTTTTCTATGTTCACTTTAATTTTCAATTGTGTAATTAAAAAAAAGGAAAAGAAAATTTAAATTTCTATTTGAAATATAAATGTTGCACAATCCATGCTTTATTTTTAGTATTGCAGAGTGTCTTCAGGCATAGGTTTATTGCTAGTATTTTGATATTGTAGCTCAAGATTAGGACAATTTTGCAGTAGGAAATTTTTTAGTTTGCAAATCCGGGTGAATTATTCTATTTTCCACTTTGATTTTCTTTCTTCTTTTCGTATACTTGATTGGAGATATTTTTTAGGTATGTCCGGTTCGGTATTAATTTGTGTTTTAAATTTTCATTTGGTTCCTTTACAATATTCAGTTTCATCAAANAAAAAAAAAAAAAAAACAAAATCGTCATGTATCATATCGTACGATATGGTGCAAAAACGATATAGGGACACGACGCGTATCGTTTTTCAGGTGTATCGTGATGTATCGTTCGATACTAATAATTATGGTTGGGACATTTATCTAATATTACAATTAGGAAGTTGAATTCTCAACTTATAAAAACACAACAACAGTCAAGATAGATCCAAATGTTCATCTACTTTGATCCCCAATGGTACAAGCTTCATCCCAAAAGAAATTTCCTGCTCAAAAATTACTTCTCATTACGAAATCTAATGTTGGACAACTCAACCAACACACCCCCCATTGTTTGATAACCTTACTACTTCACGCCTAACCCTCACTTGTGTTTTCTATGTTCACTTTAATTTTCAATTGTGTAATTAAAAAAAAGGAAAAGAAAATTTAAATTTCTATTTGAAATATAAATGTTGCACAATCCATGCTTTATTTTTAGTATTGCAGAGTGTCTTCAGGCATAGGTTTATTGCTAGTATTTTGATATTGTAGCTCAAGATTAGGACAATTTTGCAGTAGGAAATTTTTTAGTTTGCAAATCCGGGTGAATTATTCTATTTTCCACTTTGATTTTCTTTCTTCTTTTCGTATACTTGATTGGAGATTTTTTTTAGGTATGTCCGGTTCGGTATTAATTTGTGTTTTAAATTTTCATTTGGTTCCTTTACAATATTCAGTTTCATCGNAAATCGTCATGTATCATATCGTACGATATGGTGCAAAAACGATATAGGGACACGACGCGTATCGTTTTTCAAGTGTATCGTGATGTATCGTTCGATACTAATAATTATGGTTGGGACATTTATCTAATATTACAATTAGGAAGTTGAATTCTCAACTTATAAAAACACAACAACAGTCAAGATAGATCCAAATGTTCATCTACTTTGATCCCCAATGGTACAAGCTTCATCCCAAAAGAAATTTCCTGCTCAAAAATTACTTCTCATTACGAACTCTAATGTTGGACAACTCAACCAACACACCCCCCATTGTTTGATAACCTTACTACTTCACGCCTAACCCTCACTTGTGTTTTCTATGTTCACTTTAATTTTCAATTGTGTAATTAAAAAAAAGGAAAAGAAAATTTAAATTTCTATTTGAAATATAAATGTTGCACAATCCATGCTTTATTTTTAGTATTGCAGAGTGTCTTCAGGCATAGGTTTATTGCTAGTATTTTGATATTGTAGCTCAAGATTAGGACAATTTTGCAGTAGGAAATTTTTTAGTTTGCAAATCCGGGTGAATTATTCTATTTTCCACTTTGATTTTCTTTCTTCTTTTCGTATACTTGATTGGAGATTTTTTTTAGGTATGTCCGGTTCGGTATTAATTTGTGTTTTAAATTTTCATTTGGTTCCTTTACAATATTCAGTTTCATCGAAAAAGAAACTTCTATTGCCAAAAAGACATTCATGTCAAGTTTTGCAAGTCTTTGAAAAAAACATGGATTGTTGAGGTGTGTTGTTAAGGTTTATGCTCAAGTTTAGGGGCAAGGCTCGAAAAAGTAGCCTCGAGTGGCCTCTGAAACATGAGCATTTGATGTTTATAATTTTGCTTTGCTTGAAACATATGCCTTTTTGTTGAGAATTTTTCTAAATCTTATCACTACATCTGGTGGTCCTCTCAACTAAAGTTGTTAGTATCGTACGATACGCGATACGTATCGTACGATACGTTACGATACAGCCCTAAAACGATACGGATCGTAGTTATGTATCGTTTTTGCGTTGTATCGTCCGATACACGATACGTTTTTACGATACGATACGTATCGGTACGATACGCACGATACGTGCAATTTTTTTTTTTTTTTTTTTTTTTTTTTAAAAACGACGTCGTTTTGTGCTCTGATTTTTTTTTAAAAAAAACGACAAGTGAAGACTTGTTGGCATCCGATCACAATGATGATGATGATGATGCATTTTCAATTGAAATTGAAGATTGAGTTCAAAATGGATGTTAGAAATTTGGATTAGAAGTCTCTTTGGTGTTTAAAGTTTGAATTAGTGAACTATGGTTGTGAACTTTGCATTATAATAGTAGTGGATTATGTTGATAACTTGAATAGTTGGTGGAGTATTAATGAAATGCTATATTTTTTATGAGTGTATGACTTTTTTTCAAAGGTATATATATTTTTTTATTATTTATTTAAAATTGCATCGTATCTTACGATACACGATACGATACACGATACGATACAATATTTGTATCTTACGATACGCCTTCCGATACACGATTTGATAACTATGCTCTCAACTACTTGAATTCTATTTTTTTTCTTATATTTTTGTCTTATCTGCCGTNACTTCACGCCTAACCCTCACTTGTGTTTTCTATGTTCACTTTAATTTTCAATTGTGTAATTAAAAAAAAGGAAAAGAAAATTTAAATTTCTATTTGAAATATAAATGTTGCACAATCCATGCTTTATTTTTAGTATTGCAGAGTGTCTTCAGGCATAGGTTTATTGCTAGTATTTTGATATTGTAGCTCAAGATTAGGACAATTTTGCAGTAGGAAATTTTTTAGTTTGCAAATCCGGGTGAATTATTCTATTTTCCACTTTGATTTTCTTTCTTCTTTTCGTATACTTGATTGGAGATTTTTTTTAGGTATGTCCGGTTCGGTATTAATTTGTGTTTTAAATTTTCATTTGGTTCCTTTACAATATTCAGTTTCATCGAAAAAGAAACTTCTATTGCCAAAAAGACATTCATGTCAAGTTTTGCAAGTCTTTGAAAAAAACATGGATTGTTGAGGTGTGTTGTTAAGGTTT